CTGTGACAACTACAACTACTGTTAATTTTGGAAGTGTTCCAGTTTTCCAAGGGTTAACATGCACAGATTAGTATGGGGCCCACGGGCGAGTGCCCATCAGGCCCGTGCGTGAAGACGGCCCTGCTTTCAGGTGGAGAAGAAGACCAGCCTTTTCCTAAGGGGAGGTGCCTGCAGATCCAAAGGCCACTCAAGGCCCCACAGAAGAGACACACACGTTCCCTTTGAGATGAGTGAACATGCAACGGAAAACAGCAAGAATCGCCCTCCATTCACCCACTTTTTATAAGGGGCCACTGTAAAAGTCAAAATTAAACCCCTCTATCTTGCAGACATTTTGCATGTAATGAGTACCAGAGCGGCAGAGCATGTTAATCAACACCAAGAGCAAATGGGAGCAGTGATGACGCCGCTTAGCATAAATTTGCATGTACTGATGCATGTGCGGAGCTGCACATTTAAGCGTGCACAACTTCAGTGCATCTCACCGCAGTCTGGAAGGCTGTTAGCAGGTGGCCCACGTGCCCGCCACGTCTGTGGAGCGCTTCCTCTCCAGGTGGGCAACCGGCCTCGCGGCTCTTCATCTTCGAACCGGAGTTGGGCAGGGCAGTGCTTCAGATGTAGGGCTGTCCTTGCTTATTGAACAAAGGACAATTGGCTGCCTGGCCCTGTCTGTTTTCTAAAATAGCCATTGGCTTTTCAAACCCAGCTGCTTATCATAAGAAAGAAGGAAGGAAGGAAGGAAGGAAGGAAGGAAGGAAGGAAGGAAGGAAGGAAGGGGGGGTGCCAGGAAGACCTTCCCTGCAAGCCATCCCCGACCCACACCTTTCAGGTGTGTTGGGCTACAACTCCCCTCATCCCCTGCGAGGTTATCTGGAGTTGGCAAAAGCTGAGTTGTGCATGCATGACATTATGACCGGAAGTACAGGGGAAAGTGTGGTTGTTTATTTCCTCTTTAATAGCCCTCTTCGGCCAGGATCTCTTCTAGATCTTCTCAGAGGGCAGGACACAGAATGACGGGCTCCAGTTACAGGCAGCCGGATTCCAGCGGGTATCAGGAAACTCCTCCTGATGGTGAGAGCAGCTGAGCCCTGGAAGCCATGCCCTGGCGAGGTGGTGGGCTCTCCCAGACTGGAGGCATCCGGGATGCAGCCGGACAGCCATCTGGCATGTTGGGGATCCTTGAACGTGGAGCGCTGCGTCGAGCAGGGGAAGACCCTGATGGCCCTTTGGGTCCCATTCCGCTCCACTGCGCTAGGATTCCAGTGGCTGCCTGTGGAACGTGGTCTTGACCGAGCCCTCGGAGGCCCAGGTTCCGCCTTGGGTTATGGGCCTGGGACTTCCCACACTGGCAGGTCGATGGCCATTTCCTTCCCTAGCCATGAGGGAAGGGCTGCCCTGCTGGGTCTGCAGTTTGCTGGGTATCAGGCCAGGTACTCAGGTGGCTGCCCAGTTTCTTTCTGAATGTCTCCATTGTGGGCAAGCCCCCCACCTCTCCAGGCAGCTGGTCCCACTGTCGTCCTGCTCTGACAGTGAGGAAGCTCTTCCTGAGGTCCAGCCTGAACCTGGGTTGTTGCAACTTGAAGTGATTATTTATTTATTTTTATTTATTTTATTTAAAACATTTCTATGCCACCCTCATTGCAACAAAGCCTCGGGGCAGCTCACAACATCCAAAATAAACATAAAAATACAATCAATAATTTAAAAACTAGGACCATTCCGTGTCCTGCACTCCGGCATCAGCAAGAAGAGATCTTGGCCTTCCTCTCTGTGACAACCTTTGAGATACATATAGGGGGATACCATGTCCCCCCTCAGTCTTCTTCTCGAAGTTGAACATGTCCAATTCTCTCAGGCAGTGTTTCCAGGCCCTGGATCAGTGATGGCGAATCTTTTAGAGACCAAGTGCTCAAACAGCAACCAAAAACCCACTTATTTGTCGCAAAGTGCCAATAAAACCTGAAAACTGAGAGTTAGGGTTGGAATGGGTTAGGGTTAGGGCCCTTTTGGATGCTGTTATCTGATGTTCGGCTGCTGGGGCGATGCTGGGGCGACTTGGCTCGCGTGCTGACAGGGCTCTTTCATGCCCGCTGCGGAACTCTTGCCAAAGGTTCTCCACCACTGGCCTGACCCTACCCTGGTGCACTCCCCAACCCTAATATAGGGCGAATGTTCCATTGAAAATAGTGATTTTGAAAAAGCCTTCCTTGAGTAGCTTTTCCTGCACAGCTCAACATTTCTCTGCATTCTAAACACATTCCAACCATCAACATCATGCCAGGGCACCTCGTTTTTTGAACCCTAACCCTACCCTGGTGCACTCCCCTAACCCTAATATAGGGCGAATGTTCCATTGAAAATAATGGGATTTTGAAAAAGCCTTCCTTGAGTAGCTTTTCCTGCACAGCTCAACATTGCTGCCCATTCTGAACACATTCCAACCATCAAAATCATGCCAGGACTCCTCGTTTTTCTAACCCTACCCAGTGATGGCAAAGCTTTTAGAGACCAAGTGCCCAAACTGCAACCCAAAACCACTTATTTATCTCAAAGTGCCAACACAGCAATAAAACCCGAAAACTGAGGTTTTAGCTTAGAAAAAACACCTCACAGCCTGTTCAAGCAAATATATATCTATCCTTGGCAGCCCACTGACCAGCCTTGCGAAAGCTCGGACGAGTCGTGGCTGATGGGTTGCGGCTTGTGATGTCATCACCAGGCTCCACTACTCCTTTCCGAGCATGCGCATGGCCCCTATGCGCACTGTTATCCGATGCTCAGCTGCCGGGGCAATGCTGGGGTGGCTTGACTCGTGTGCCGACAGAGAGGGCTCTGCGTGCCCACGGGGGCCATATGCCATAGGTTTACTACCATTGCCCTAGATCATTTTCGTTGCTCTCTTCTGGATCCTTCCTAATTTTTCTGTATTTTTCTTAAATCTTGGTGCCCAGAACTGAACACAGTACTCCAGAAGAGTCAAGTTCTTCCCTCAAAATATAACCCTTGGGAATCTCAGTGTAAGAGGGGCACTGGACATGCCCCTTTTGTGAAAAAAGATCATTTACAGCTTTGATTTCTCCTGACAGCTCACCTTTTGACAGCTGTCAAGAGAACACAAAGTAGAAACTAAAGCTCTTGGCAGCCTGTCTGGTCAATGATCGTGTGGGGTACCCAATGCACATTGACTGGAGAGACCTTCCAGGATTTTGCCCAGGTGAACAAAGCCATTTTCAGGCACATTGAAATGTGCAAGTGTGCACGTGCACAAATCCAATCAGATAATAATATGTGCCTATTTGGGGCTCAACATGTGTATATTTTTCAAAAGGGTGATGGATCAGTGGCAGACCCTCCAGTGTCCCCCTTGCCTATGGGAAGCAGCCTGATCATCTGTCAGCACACCTTGGGTTGCTTCATGAACACCCCACCCCAGAGAGAGAGAGAGAGAGAGAGAGAGAGAGAGAGAGAGAGAGAGAGAGAGAAGACCGACAGACGTCAATGGAGAATGTGGCTCTCAATTTTCTGAGCAGCTTTTTCCCTTGGCTTGATGCCTCTGCGGTTGGAGGGGACTTCGAAGGCTGTTTGTTGCAAACCTCAACTCCTAAGGAGGGGGAAGAATGGCCAACCTTCCCCACTGTGGCTCATTAACTGTCCCTGTTCTGAACTGGCTGCCAGATCAGCTCTATATCTCATTCACATGTGCCCAGTGTCAGCCCATCCGCATATAAAATCAACCCCAAGTCAAGTCCCTTCAATAAATTCCTCAGCCAAGCACGTCACTCTCTTGTGGGCCCAAAACCTTCAGCCACTTGGCAGTTCGACACCCTTTAGATACCACAAATTCCCAGAAATGGGAAATCTCTCCTGGCTTTCTGTTTACCTTATGCATCGATTGACTTCCATGAAGATCCTGCCCAAAGGGAGGTAAAACTCTTTGTAACTACAACCCCTTACAGCAGAAAGCAGCAAGAGGATGTGGTTCTTCCGGGACTCCAGCTCCTCTCAACCCCAGCCAGAGCCACAATCCAAGAATGATGGGAGTTGCAGACCAGCATTGTCTGAAGGACTGCAGCTTCTCCACCCCGGCCTCAGTGAAAGAAAAGCCTATGTGGCTGCTTCCGGCAGCTCCCCCCAGAGAGGAGTCTTTGGTTCAGGCCATCTTAGCTTGAGGGGGGGGGGCAAGCACCTGTAGCTCACCACCCCTAATTAAGCCTCCTGACCTTTCCTCTTCATTCCAGGAGAGAATGTTGGGGGCTAGCCAGTTTGCCTTTGTCTCCTTTCAAGATGGCTAATTATCCTTGAATCGTTATTAATAGTGTTTGCATTCCATTGCATTGCTTTTTACAAAAACATGGAACAACTCCAGTGTGTTCCCTCCCATCCAAAGAAAACAGAACTTCAAAAAGAGGGTGGCTGAAATTTACAGGCATTGATCCTGCAGATGACGACATCATGAAAGAACTAGATTTAAGGTCTACCTATGAGTAAATTATGCAACGGAGTGTGGGCTACAAAGGCAGGGTGCATCAAGGGTGTTCTGGTTTTTAAAGCTGTCCGTCTGTTTTCATCTTCTCACTGTTTTGTATTGTGATTATTATTTGGAAACTGCTTTTGCTGGTTTCAGAAAGGAGATGATGATGACGATGACATTTGTATCCCTGCTTTCCTCCTCTGGCAGGCAACCACCGTGTTGCTCATAGGCATCTCCACATCTCCATTTTACCCTCACAACCACAGCCCTGCAGGGTAGGTTAGGCTGAGATTCTGCGACTGGCCCACTGAGCTTCTTGCACTTCGACCGGATCGCCCACGCCTCGGGCTCGCGGTCTCGCCAGCGTGCACAGCGGCTGAAACTGTGGTGCTCGTTCCGTGTCCCGGCTGCAGGGCACATTTGGCTTTCCTGGGACTGTGGCCAGTGAGTGCAGATGTGGAAGGAACCTGGAGGGGAAGCGGGGCTGTCCGGAAGGGGGTCACTCTGGATCTGTGTGTGTCTTGCCCAGGTACTTCTTCGTCTGGTCCCTCTGCGCCTTTCACCTCACCCAGGCAGACACCATCGAGCTGACGGACATGTTTGGGGAGATCCAGTCCCCCAGCTTCCCCGATGCCTACCCCAGTGACTCGGAGGTGACCTGGAATATCTCCGTGCCAGACGGTTTCCGAGTCAAGCTCTACTTCATGCATTTCGATCTTGAATCATCGTATCTTTGCGAATACGACTATGTGAAGGTGAGCACTCCAGGCCTTGTTCCTTTATCTGCCACCCCCAGTCCAGCACCCCCAGGTCGGGCATGCTGGCTGGGGATGATGGTTGTTGTAATCCAAGCCTTCTGGGTGATGCCGTCAGATTGAGTAAGGGCAGTGCGTTGTTCCACAATTTTGCTCTGCACTGGATTCAAGCCCTCCTTCGTTTCTATTTAATTGGGAGCATTTGTTTCCAGAATTAATCGTGTGCTGTTTCCACTATCTTGTGGGGTGGGGCTCTGCCCATTGCACCCTCTGGCATTTCCAAAGCACCTTTGAGAAATCCTTGTAATGAGAATCTATATGCGTTGCATGTTCTTTCCGTGCTATATTTTACTGATACGAAGTGCGCCTTTCCATTGGTCAGGTGGTACAGAAAAAATAATACTTTGTAATTAAAGCTTAAATTGGTTTTATCCCATTTTTACTACTAGTTTAGATGCAGTGTCTTGTTCCTGGTTTCCTTTCTTGTAAGCTATCCAGAGACCTTTTTTTTAGCAATGGACAGTATAGAAAATTTTTAAATAAATTAAAGCGTTTTGTTACACACCTGCTTTACTTGATGTATGAGAGTGATAATACTTAAGCAGCCGGTGGTTATTTAGTCCATGGCAGAAGCTACATGCTCGGAGGACTTTTGTCTGCACAAGGTATTAGTATGTTGCAGAGTCAAGCCATAACTTCTGTTTCTAGCATCCAGGTCCTTGTTTTGTGCACTGACAAAGATGGCCGAGCAGAAGCTTCCCAGAACCTCCACTTCCCAAAAGGGCAAGGAGTTTGTGGCCCCTACCTGGGGTGGACAAAACACCTTCCGGATGTGTTGGCCTACAACTCCCAGCATCCCCCACTTTTGGCTCAGCTGACTGGTGGGAACTGTAGGCCCAAAGCTCTGGAGGGGTCAGCCATGTGCAGATGCCTGGCAGATTCCCCCCTGCAGTTGAAAACCATTTCCAATGGGGAGGGAAATATTTGCTTTGCTTTGATTTTCTTCCTGAAGGTTTGTTTGTCCTTTTCCCTTGTTATTCCTTCTCTTGCTGCCTCTCTAGAGCTGCTCCAAAAATTAAGGTCATCGCCTAAGGAAGAATTAACTAAGAGTCTTGTGGCATCTTAAGGAGAAACCATTGATTATGGCATGAGCTTCTCTGAATAGCAGACCATTTGGTCCTCAAAGATTCACGCCATAAAAACAGCTTGAGCACCACTAGATGTTTCCCGTTCCTGTTGCCACATTCAGTGTTGTTTTTAAGGGGGGAGAATGTGCAGAAGGTTACCAAGGACTACCTGTCATGATGGCCATATATTACCTCCAGTACTGGGGGAAGGATGCCATGTTCCGCAGTCACTGGGGAACTTGGGCAGGGGGCTCTGTCAGATCCCGTCCCCGGGGCAGTTATCCCCAGTCATCCTGTGAGCCACTCTGGAAACAAAGTTTTCTTCCCTTAGGCTGCGATTTCTCGCCCCATTTTGAGAGATTCATTACCTCTCTCTGTGCTTCCAAATAAGCGTGTGCTCGATTCACACTTTGCGGTGTCTGTTGGCACAAGGAGCTCTCCCGGATGGGCACAGGGGCCGGGTGGGCTGCCCTTCCGTCACTCTCAGGCCGCCATGAAGCATCTCACCCCTGGCGCCCAGAGGCGGATGCACGAGGCTCTCCTTGCAAGGGGTTTAGAGGGAAACAGAACGAACGTGGCTGTTTCGATTGTGGCCCATCGTGACTTGGAAGGACCTGATATGACTCTCTGCCAGAGATATTTTACTGGAATGTGGCTTGAGCCAGCCTTATAGCTTGTGCTTCCAGAGACTCTTGGGCACACACACAGACACAACTGTTGTAAGGCAGAGGCGGGAAAGATCCAAGCCAAGACCTAGTCCCACCTAGGGGCCCCATCCTGGCCTAGAGTTTACCCATCCGGCCTGCCGAGGCTTCATGTTTTTCTCCAGGAAGAGAGGGCTTGGAACCCAGGGGAAACGGTCCAGCTGGGCCATTCTCAGGCGAGGCTGAAGGAGAGCCGGCTGCCAAATGCAGCAGCCCTGAGTCTAGCTCCCCTCTCTCAACAGCTAGAAAGACCACCGGCATCTTCGACTCCAGTCATTCCATGCCTATCTGCCCTTTGCCAGGAGCAGCCGCTGAAGTGATGCAGGGGTGGAGAAATGGTGTCAGGAGCCACCCACTATCGCTTGACTCAGTGCGATGGAAAAGGTGGGGCATGCAGGGCGCATGGCTGCCATTTTGGGTGGCAGTAGCACCCTTCGCATCCAACTCACCTGGCCTCGTGGTTGGCTCCAGCCGGGCACCCACCAAAACCCGTCACGTCTTGTCTCTCGCCTTCTCGGTGTGCAGAGCTTGTTTCCCAACTGGTATTTGTGCCCATCTTCCTTCCACGGTGATGGGACTGCTGTTGCATCTGGGGCTCAGTATATAAATATTTGCCATCGTCATCACTAAGTGGCATTTGCTTGCCCAGGGGTGTTCCTCTTTCCTGCTCCCTAATCCTGACTTTGTCCTAATTTCACCCCATTATTGCCTTCTGCTTTTTTTAAAAAAATAGTTGATGTAAATTGCCCAGTTCTGGGGTTCTTCTGCTCCCTTGGACCTCTTAGCTTTCTGAATGTGAAAAAATGGGCATGTCCAAACACACGTGTGTGAACACACATGTTCAAATTCCCAGGACTAGAGGGCAGCAGAATGGAGAGCTAGAGAGCTCAAAGCAGTGTGGTATTGTGAAATTTATAGCAGGTTTTTAAAGATACTTTTCCTCCAACCGAAACTGGCTACTGATGTCCACCGAGTCTACATTCCTATACCCTCACTGAACTTAATGGGATTTACTTCTGAGTAGACGTGTCTGGGTATGCACATCTCGGGAGCCAAATGGAGAGTCGATGGCTGAACCTCAGCCACTTCTGTCTTCTCGCGTCCCTTGCTTGTTTAACTTACCATCTTGGCTCATGGAGAGTTCTGGGGAACTCAGCGGCATGAAGAGTTGGTGACCTTGTTTGGGAAGTGCCGGTGTCTGGAGGTGATGGGAGTGATGCAGAAGTGGAAGGAGAAATGAGGTTTGGGAGGCCAGGGAAAATAACAGCCGAGAAGTGCTCAGCATCAAAGATCTGCTTAGCAAGCTGTCCCAGCCGCATGGATAAGCACATCTCTTCTTGGGCCCGGAAACTTTCAGGGTCCATTTTGCATTTCTCATGTTAGCAGAGCCACACAGTCTGTGGCTCCTCTGGTGGAAATGTCAGGAACCAAAGCAGTGAATGAGAGAAGGGTGCAGAAAGGAGTCCTACCTCCTTTTCCAAGCTATTTTCAAAATCTGAGCAGCCATCTTCAACACTTCTCTTTCCCTCTGCAAAAATTTGTACCCCAGTTGGGCAAGTCTGGTGGAGGGACATGCCAAAATGTTGTATCTGTGGTGCTATCTGGAAGCACTGCTGAGTAATTCAGTCCTCCTTACTTCTGAGTAAAAACACAGCTCTTATTGCTGAGTAGAGTTACAACCCTGACTGCTCTTTAGAAGGCCAGGTACTGAAGATGAAACTCAAATACTTTGGTCACCTAATGAGAAGGAAGGACTCCCTGGAGAAGAGCCTAATGCTGGGAACAATAGATGGCAAAAGAAGGAGGGGGCGGCAGAGGATGAGGTGGCTGGATGGAGTCACTGAAGCAGTCGGCGTGAGCTTGGGTGGACTCCAGGCGATGGGGAAGGACAGGAAGGCCTGGAGGAGTGTTGTCCATGGGGTCGCGATGGGTCAGACATGACTTCGCGACTAACAACAACAAGGGTTACAACTGGTAAGAATCAAATTCAAGCCCCACCTCCTCCACTCTTGAACTGATACACTGATAAACTGTGCACATCTCTCTTCTGCCCTCCCCCACAACTCTGGACCTTCCCCAAGTGGGACTGAAAAAGTTTCCCTCCCCAGCAGAGACTGGGATGTATTCCATTTGGGTGGGTACCAGCCAGTTTGCTTCCCCGAGGACCCTGGAGTGAGCATGGTTGCTAAGAGTTTCAAATTGTTTTGTATACGTGGTATTTTTAAGGTTTGGATCTGTGTAAGCCGCCACAGTTCTCTGGCTAACGGGAATCCTAGAAATATCATTGCTGATTATAATCCTCAGCATCATAATGAAAAATAGCTTTCAGCAAGCCGGAGAGCTGTTGTTACAGTTCTGTGTGTTTCGTAAGTTGGATCTCGGCGGTCAGCAATAAGCACCATGGTGACCGTGTGAGTAAGCGCCTAGGACTGCAGCCATGCCGATCCGAATAAACCGGGTATTTCTGCTCTTTGGCCCATGTGTGTTCATGGTGAGTTCCTGCACATTAAACATGACTAGTTACAGGTGTTTGGAGCACGATTAAAGGAGCTGGCATGGCTAGGGATTCTGTTCTTTCCTGCATTTTGACTCTCTTCCTCCAAGGAGCTCACAAGGCCATATAATCAGCTATGGTGTAGGGCAGCCGGGATTCACTGAGCTGAAGCTCTGGACTTCTTAAATAGCAGGAGCGATCTCATCCCCACGACTTTTCTGCTTTCTTCAAGCAGAGCTGCAATTTTCACAGTAGCTGGGGAGAAATGACTTCCCCAGAAGCAGTGGGTCTCTTCACAGGCCTCCACAGGCTGCCATGGAGCTGTTGCGTCGTGCCAAGCAGGATGGACACCAACCTGGCACGGTGCCCAGGAGTGTTCCCCTTGCAGTGGGTTCTTGTCCCATGAGAACCCCGGTGGCCTGGGTTCTTGGAAGGTTAAGCAGCCTCATAGGACCGACATCTTGCTCTCGGACTACTTGGTTATCCAACCATCCGACACCTGCTGCCAAGGTTCACATGCAAGCCAGGTGCCCTTGGGCATCCAGAATGACAGGATCTGGGCAAATTAACCCATGGTGGACTATTGCGTCCCATGGACCAGCTCCATAAAGGGATCTTTTGAGTTGTCCCTGCTGTAATGGGAAGTATTTGGGGATGGTTTGGTCCCAAATGAGC